TCTATTATTAACGAGAGCCAGTCTGCCTTTGTGAAAAATAGGAACATCGGAGACGTAGTGAGATTGATAGAATGTGTGATGGAATCCACAGACAAACTAAATTTATTTAAATGTCTGTGGAGAGGCCCAGATAAGATTGCAAGGAATACAGTTATAGGTGACACAGACAAGGGCGGTTTTCAATGCCAGACATCTATGCCATTTATGCAGCCCAAAGAATTAACTGGTTGAGACGACTGGGTGACAATAAAGTGTCACATTCATGGAAAACAATCATTTTAGACAAATTGAAACCAATTGGTGGACTCTTAGTTTTATTGAATTGTAACTTTGACCCTAAAGTCCTGCCAGTGAGGTTACCACTGTTCTTTTCAAATATTTTACAAAATTGGGTAAGACTGAATTCAGACGTAAGCCCAACAAATGAAAATGCATTTCATGAGCAAATAATTTGGAATAACAAACTGATTCTTCTGGGAGGGAAATCGGTCTTCATTCAGGATTTTGTTGATGCTGGAATTTTGTTTGTTAAACAAATGTATGGGGAAACTTGGAAACTACGAGCATGGGAGGAGATTCAGAGTAAAGGAGTGCCTGGGTCATGCTTTCTAAAATGGTATGGCCTGATACAGTGCGTACCTCACAAACTAAACAACTCTGATTTTGACGAAAATGTTAACCCTTTGGATAAACCAGTTAGACTTAAACACGGCAGTACATTGGTTGGTTGAGTTACAAAATTGTACTACAAAAACTGTAGCTAAGAGTATTGTTAACAACAAATTTATCTCGCCTAGATCTGAGACCTATTTTACTGTATTATTGAATATTTCACACTTGATGTCTTGGTTGCCAATCTACCAGTTACCCTTTCGTACTACAATTGATACTCGTCTCAGAGAATTTCAACTCAAAATAATCCATAATATTCTGACCACAAACAAAACATTATTTAAGATGAACCCTCCCATTGTGGAGTCTGATCTGTGTACTTTCTGTTCATCATGCTCTGAATCTCTTATCCATTTGTTTTACCAATGTCAATGCACCCAAGATATTTGGGAAACACTGTACATGCTTTTTTTTTTGGGGGGGGGGGGGTAAGCTTGGCCTGAGGGCATTCCCGAATGCACAACAAATACTTGTTGGGGATGATAATTTTACAAGTTTAGTCAACTTCCTCTTTCTGGTAGTAAAAAAATATATTTACTTGTATAGAAATAAAAATCAAAAGCAAGAATTCATGGCATACAAAAGATATGTAAAATGGAGATAGAGTACTTCATTGCTGTCCGACGGAATAGGTTGACTTCTCATAACAAGAAATGGGGATATTTTATGAAAAATGTTACCCAATCCACTTCACAATATGTAGATTAATTGCAATTTGTAATGTACAAACCAGGTATGTAAGATATGTAATTTTAGTGCAAACTCCAATAAAAGTTATAAATACAAAAAAAGAAAAGAAAGAAAGTGTGCATCAATAGTTGACTTACCCCGAATCGATAGAATCTAATTCTATCTCTTCTACGGTGTCAGCCATCACCAACACGGACCATGTCATAAGACAGCCAGCTACCGAGACACAGTATTGTATACTTGTTGAAAATAACAAACAGATCATGAAATATATAGTTGTGGTCTAAGTTAGCTCGTAATTAGAATAACAATAGATACTTTGCGTCAGCAGAATTTTAATTACCGTTGACATCACTCGAAGCCAAACTAATTTGCAAACCTTCTCATTAAATCACTATACGTATATAACAAAGTTTACTAATACCCAGGAAAGAAGTCACACAATTCTGGTAAATGCAGGTTTCATGAGCAAATTATTTAATATTGGCGAATACTATTTACGCAATAGAGGAGTAATTTAATTTAGCATGTATGAACTATATGTTCAGATTGTTACAAAGCGGATATGTTGTCGGCCATGAAATTTATAGATAATAGTAACGCTTGATTATCGACTCTACTCTAACTAGTAATTATTCATCATATAGTGGTATTCCAGATGTACAACACAGGCAACGATTGCATACACTTCAGGGAATCGACAATGCCAAATTTAATAAATATTATATTATCCTAAATATATTTTCATCCATCTGAATGAAAACTACGCATTGTGCAATCACAGAAGAGAGAGCGCTTTCTGTAATTATTGCTTTTGTTTAATCGATTTGTATCTGTCGTCCAGTCTCAGGTCGTGTTCTATGTAGCTACATGGGGATCGTGAAATCAACTCGGAATAAGCATTGCTTTGACCATTTGTTGAGTTCCCTATACCGCGGAACAGTGCTGATATATAATAGTGCAAGTAACTACGACAACACTGAATCATGCACGGTTTCCGGTTACACAATACACGTTAATTAAAGAAGCTCAAAAGTTGCAATGCATGGTAACACGTGTAAGCTATATCCTTGTTACCCATAACAACCGGATACTCGTACAGCTATGATACTAATTACTTGGACCTCAGAAATGACGACCAACGCAAGGTGTGTAACCATCGCAACACGTACAGATTGAACAAGTGCTTCAGAAGTACATCATTTGAAGTTTTGTTCAAAGCAAGATTTAAATATCTGATTACGGTGAATTAGGTGATATTATTGACTGAACGCATAACATTGACAGGAGGAATAAAGAAATGTATACATCTTTTTGTTAATATTTGAATTCCGTGTTGTATTTGCTAAAAGACGTACGACGTTGATGGCACTATACTAGTTAGCCTGCGTACAAATTATTACATGTATAAGTAAAACATCAAATTAATGTTTTTTATATATATTTTTCAGATTCAATAAATCAGGTGGATTTTGCAATTGTTTTAAAATAATTTGAATCATTCTAGAACTGACTGTTTATGATCCTTGTCTCTCTAAGCAGTTAAAACAGTGAGTTACATGCATTCTGAAAACTCGGACTCGAGAAATAAAAAGTGTCTCTATACGACACACAATAAATGTTTTTATTTATTTATTTATCGATTGGATGTGTAGTTATGAACGACAAAATAAGATTTTTAGAAATAAATTCTAAAATTCGCAAAAGAGTTAATTCGGCGTTTTCAATAAAAACAAGCTTGTTTTTATTTTTGTTTTTTAAAGAGATGATTCCCTTGCAGCGTTTGGAATCAGCATCAATGATGTGGCTGTGGGTGTATTTAAAATCCTGGGGTGGGAAGGTTTTTGACAAAAATATTCATCCCTGCGAGTCTCAATAATATTGACCAGAACTGTCAGTGGCAACCGTTTATATTACTCGTAAGTCGAAAATGCCAAAGAAGCATGCGCTCCAACATCGTGCTTGTCAGAAATGTGAAAACGTACATGCGCAGCTGCACACCTCCCGATCTCGGGTCTCCTCAAATCTTCGCCTATTTGAGACGTTACACAGTTTTGCCACTGACTGTATTCAAATTTGAAACGTAAATTTTATTTTCAGAGCAAAAATGACAAAAGTGCGAAAAATAATGTGAAAATGCCAAACGTGCAAGTCTTTCACTACAAAATTTGGAAACAAGAATTTCAAACACACAATTCATGATAAAATAAGTTCAACTGGGGATTTGGTCGAAAACTCATCACCCCAATCGACGGCAATCGTATGTAAGAATGAGCCTAATTTTTGCATAAAAAAAGTGACCAAGATAAAATGATACTTGAGTTAGGAATTGGACCAAGTTTGCTTGAAGAGAAATGCTTTTCAAGCCGTTCTTTTAAGGTTTTTTAAGCCCTTCTTTAAATTTGCCAAGGACTATCGCGGAACAAGCATAAAAATCAAGGTTTTCGCTAAAATAAGTATTATTTGAATATAGCCCTATTGACGTATTCTATTCGTAACTATTTCATCAATAGAATCACGACCGAGAAGAGCCGTGGTGGGCTCATACCACTAATTGAATTTCTATAGACGACAATGTTAACATATGACGAGATTGCTATATGAAAATGACGAAGAAAGTTGAAAATATGGCTCAAAAATGGGAAATCAACATGCCAGTAATCAACCATATGAAAAAAACTAACATGTTGGCCAGCTCAAACTCTTGCAAATCTCAGGTAAACAAGACACACCTACTGTATTTGGATTGCACCAAGAGAAATCACTGGAAAAACACCAAGATTAGAACATCCATTAACACACAGAATAAACCCACAGGTATACAGCCGCTAAGTAGTAAACAAAAGACCACATGTTGGTCTCACCTCTGACCCAGGTGATTACGCCCTCAAACAGGGAGCACCTGAGAAAAATAATATTTAAAAAATTTCATTGGTTCTTGCTGGGCATTTAAATTGGTTAATTAGTGGCATGAGACCTGGTTTCAGACTGAACGCCTCCAAGTGGTCAGGTAGGGAGATGTGATCAAAGGGCCATTCGTCCCATCCATCTCAGATTTTAATATGATCGAGTAAATCAATAAATTAAATATTTCGCTCCCAGTAACCGCATCAGCAAGTATCTCACCAGTGATCCAACCAGTGGTGCCACAAGGCCTACATTTCCAGAGCGGGGTATTTGTGTGGAGTCACAACAATTCAATTTCCCTTCACCCAAGAAACACTCTGTACATGGACACCAATTTTTTTTAAACTTGACACAATTTATTGACATAGTTGCAGTAAAAAGAATAACAATCCAACCACCTATGTATACCTACTCTCAATCTAGTATCGCAGTCATTAAATAATATTCTTGAAGGACTTTCACAGTAATGAGACGCACAATTGCAATTATTAAAGAGCGCCCCCAATCTGTCTGACTATGGATTATTTTGTTTAAATAAAGTTAGTAAATGACGAGAACTAGTAAACTAATCATTTCCTATTCTTGTAAATATGAACAAAAAAAGTACAAGAGATTTCAAAATATATTACAGACCAGTCTTGAAAAGCCCATAAAATAAGGTTACATATATGAAGTGTGCGTACGTATTGTATGTACAGACAAAAAATAATGTCTTTTCACATCAAAACCACGATGAAATTTTTGTCTTTCAATTCACGGTAATTTTGATGTAGAGGCAGAACTACCCAATGAGTTTTGCTCAAAAATGAGCAAAAAAATCCAGATATTATCATTGTATCATACCCAGAACAATTCTGTGAAATCACAAAATTTGGAGTTGCATGTGCATGTATAGTACAATCTTAATTATTCAAGAAAATTTAATTCAATTTTAATTGTCAGTACAATTGATTGCATAATATTTGGCTAACTGAGCAGCTGATTTCTGTTATTGAGATTACATGAAAGAATGCTATAGACGCAAATTCTGTCTTAAACTAAAAGAATTCTATAATTAAATAATCAGTTGCAACACAACAAATGACTGAGTTTTGTGTATACTAATGTATTTCACATAAATGGCAAGTATTGAATGCAGCCATATCAAACATAATGTAGGGGGATGATTGTGGCACTATACAGAACACTCAAGATCCTTTTAGTTGGATAGTATTCACACACAAAAAAACAACAACAAAATTTAGGTTGGTTCACAGAATTTCTCTTGACTGTTTTGTCAATGACATACACACCAATGATAACAAGAAATTAAACTTAGTTTTACTTTTTTTGTAGATTTACTACATCAGGGAAAATCAATCAACTCCAAGTAAAAAAAAAAGCATTCTACATTAAAAACAAGACTCCAAATGAAAATAAATCACTCTACATGAGCAAGTTGAAAGACAACTGTTAAACTGAACGAGATGAAACGTTGAGCCAGTTTAACTTTATCAGACAGAATGCTCGATCAAAGTGGGTTTGGACGAACATTTGCCAAAGAGTCAGTGTTTAGTGACAATAACCACTGTCAGAGAAGGCGAAAATATCTGAAAACACTTCTTACAAATGACTCAACTTAACTGTATTTAGAGTTCTAGAATCAAGTCTAATAACAACTAACAGTAGGTCAATATTTATCATATTAAAACCTTGTATATTCTACTCAAATAGGTTTGTTTCAAATGGTGTTACCAAGCAGTAAGTAATTAATTATGTGATTAATTATTCTTGAAGGCGTTGGACTCATACATATGAACAAAAATTAAAATAAGTGACCGACGTACTCATAACTAAAATAAAATAATTTTTTTGTGGCTGTGGCATGGCAATAAATTCATTGACATTCAACAACAAATCACCGAAAAGTAACGCAGTTAAGGTTGAAATTGTTGTTATCGTCTGTAGACACTGTCCACATTTGATCTTTATCGCGTGCTAGTATCACATTCTATGTCAGTTCTAATTATAATTGTCAACACTTTTAATTAAAGGCTCACCAACATATCAATTGGAGGGGTGCTTCTAATTTAGAAATATGCTATCGGGTAGCTGAAATTCCAACTTTTACATCAACACAAAAATACACACTTCTTTTTGATGTACTTGCAATAGTACCAAGAAAAATAGATTTGTTTATATTTACTCACAGGAAAACAAACAAAAAATAAAACACCATCCCTCTTCTTGTTTCAACATACATGAAGTGTGTCTTTTTCCAGATACTCCTTTCAAGAGAATGTTTGATTTGCAATGTACCAAACTTGTAGATAAATTACTCAGAATCTCAGAATCGTTTGGAATTGACACAGGTACACAGTACAATAATCAAAGAAAATTAACAAAAACCTAAATTTCTTTCTTTTAAATTTTGTGACGTTGTTTTGAAGTTTAAAAAAATATGAGCTTGAAAGACTAACAATTGGTTGGCAGTCCATTGGCCTACTTTATGTGCCAAAATAACGCAAATACAACTATTTACACTACAAAATGAAAACTATATATACTTAGTGCATATTGAAAAAGAAAATAATTTACAAATTGGATTTGATTGATTTGTGCTGCATAAATTATTAAAAGTTCTGCACCGAGTGAAAAAAGGTCTTGTATACGGCACTGGTAAACTCCCTAGTAGACTTATTTACAACTTACAACGTGGGGCCAATAAAGAGGTATCAGCAAGATATAAACAGTAAAACCCGAACTGTATATAAACCCCTACACACATGTGAGTTAACAAATGATGGGTTTTTTTTTTTCAAGATAAGTATTTGGTGACGATGATTTTCACCCTAGCATTGGCCCTACTGAATCCTGCATCTTACCGAGAGATTAATAATTTGAACAGATTAATAATTTGAACAGATTAATAATTTGATCCTTCTGTTGTTTGAATTAGTTGGATTACAACTGTACCATTATCAATAATCAGTGTTATTAATAACAATGTGCTGTATATTCAGTTTGACAGGATACTTGCATTACTGATGACTAGAATTTCAGATGCATATAATTCAGCAGGGCTTATGTCTTACAAAATATATATCAACTGTCAACAGGTGAGTTTTAAGTTCCACGGGCATGTTTCATGGTTGCTACATACCTGTGTGCTCTCATGAAAGAAAGGTGGTAAAGGGGGGAGGTTGTTTAAAACCAGTGATTGGCATCAGTTTTCCAACAAATTAAACACACAAACTTGTATGCTGTGCCAAGAGACATCTTACAAATATAAGTGTATTTGTACATGTGGCCAACTTTATTGTGATGCATGAATGGAAAAAAAAATATAATTTTTCTTCTTCTCTTTTTAAAAACTTTTTGTAAACTTTCAAATGTAAGATGGATACTTGCAATACTGAATCAACATGTTTTGTACTAGATTCAGGCAAGCATAGTAAAATATTTTACTAAAAGCTAGACCAGAAGTGAATCAATAACAATTGACCCACTTACGCACACATGGTATCTAAGCAACCAGGTAACCTGCAACTCATCTATAACAGGAATGAGGTAACTGTTGAATTTAGGTTTGGGGAAACACAAGATGCTAAATACCACATCATATGTGCATTTTTGTCAGCTGACATCTCAAACTGTGCGCCAGGACATGGAAGCCATTCAATTCAGCAAATCATTTGTATGTTGTAAAATTGAATAAAGTTGCATGTTCTTTATATATCAACACCTGAAACAGAAATATATAACATAAATATGAAAAATATTAAAATCAACCAAATATTAATATTTCAATCATTGCTTTTTTTGTCAAGTATCAAAGCAATCTAGCAAGTGTATTTCAAGAAACATCTTTTTAAATTAAAAATCCATTTCTGCATATTCGGCTACTGAATAGGTCATGTGACTTGGCATATTAGACTGTGTAAATTTGATGCCTCAATTTTCATTAAACAAATACAAAATAAAATAGTTTTTTTTTTTTAAATTTGAAGTCGATTGAACAGGATGTTTTAGAGTTCAACTTCCAAACTTAATTTTTTACAAGCAATTTAAAACATAGATAAACACTAATTTTGAAATAATATGAATTTTTTTTAGAATAATCAGATATAGATATTGATTCTAAACAAGCAGCCTATCGGCTGAGAGCTCCGCTGTTAGCAATGCACATTTCAATTAAAGAACTAAAGACATCATTAGAAAATGAACAATATGTATAGTATCAAAGCAATCGGACTTGCAGTTTTTAACAAGAAGTCGAAAATATCACTTTCTACCAAAAATGACAAAAATATTCACCAAAATTAGAGAATTGAAGATATCAACATGAAATGAACAAACCTAAGAGAGGTCTACCCAAGGTACATATACACCAAGTATCAAAGCATTCAGGCTTGTAGTTTTCAAGAAGAAGTCGAAAAAGTAAAACATTGACACGGACGACGGACAATCACTCATATGATAAGCTCCGCTCGACAAAGTCGACAGCGGAGCTAAAAAAGTATGAAATAACCATTTTGAAAAACATGCGCTGAATCCTTAATTTGTTATGGTTCTCACAGAAAAAAATGTGATGCTGAATAATGCCTGGCCTGAGATATCCATCTTAAAGTACTATAGCGCCCTCTATCATTTAAAATATTTGAAGCTTTAAAATGAAGCAAGGTCCATTGTGCATACAACTGAGGACATGATCTTGTATTATATTAAATCATTGTAAGAACAAATCCTAACTGACAATAGCACAGTATCAGTCACTCACCTGTTGGCTTAAGAATTAAGGAATTTAGAATATCAGATAACGATACAACACCTATAACATTATCTTGTTTGTCCACTACTACCAAACGATGAACCTATAAAATATACAACATACATATATATACCCCTGCATAGAATCAAATACACAATATAATATATATATATATATATACTGCGTTTCAACCAGACCCAACAGAACAAACATATTCAACCAGACCCAACTGAACAACCATTTGGCTATTCAGCCAGACCCATCTGAACAACCATTTGGCTATTCAGCCAGACCCATATCTGAACAACCATTTGACTATTCAGCCAGACCCATCTGAACAACCATTTGGCTATTCAGCCAGACCCATCTGAACAACCATTTGGCTATTCAGCCAGACCCATCTGAACAACCATTTGGCTATTCAGCCAGACCCATCTGAACAACCATTTGGCTATTCAGCCAGACCCATCTGAACAACCATTTGGCTATTCAGCCAGACCCATCTGAACAACCATTCGTAATTGAACTTGGGCAAGATTTCTTTCTTATTAATAGTCATATGAGCTTGTGAAAACCAATTTCCACAAAGACGTTTTAAATTAAGCAGATTCAGGGGCAAGTGACGGTGAAACGTGAATGTTGCTCACTGTGGTCTTTTCTGCTTTTCAGTGGCAGTAAATCTACTGGTATTGACAACGCTACAAAATAATAACAACAATGAACTCCCCACCAACCCATAATGGACTCAAGCACACTTTGTGCTCATTTGTACTCGCCTATTATAGACAAAAAAGCAGAAAATTGATTAATAATTATGCAAATGGTAATTTATGTTCACTGATTTCAACCCCAAAACTAATCAAGTCTGCTTATTATCCATTATGATTGTTTTGAGGTAATGGTGAAACAGATACAGACAGAATAACAGCAAACACTCCAATTGTGCGCTACATTAAAAAATACATTGACAACAATTGTTTAGTTGTTTATTCAAATCTTTTCTGAGGATCAATCTGGTTTTGAGCATACTATTACAATATTATGTTTTTAGTGTACTTTCACTAAAAACAATTTTTCTATGCTCATAAAGTATTAATTTATGTAAATAAGGTGCATTTGTCAGTCAATCACACAATGTGATTCCCTGTCTGCCTTTTAAAGTTGCATTGATTTGTGTGGAAACAATGCATATTTTGTCATTAATATTAATTACTGGTAATATCTATCTATGACTCTCTAAAATGTAATTATTTTCAGTATATGTGTCCGAGTATTTTTGAAGTTCAGTTCCACATAATAACATTGCTGTATCAAGCTACTACAGAAGCCACTGAACTGTTTTATCAGTCAATGACTGCCAGGCCTGAGGAATTGGTTGGTTACCAAGCTGTCATCAAAAATACAAGAAAACCACTAAAATTTGACTAGCCCTAGGCTGTGAATCCAACCAATCAGATACTATTATAGTAGACATTTCCAGATAATCAGCTTGAAGTTGTGGCTGAGTAGCATTGACGTTGAATTCTTCATATGATGTATGTATTGGCTTTTAAGACGACCAAGTGTTCATGTTTCGGCTTAGAAATGATGATAATATTTATGATTCCTTACCAAAATATACCAACAGGGCACAGAGGTATATAATTTTGGCAGAAAGCGGCAAAGCTGAGAAGTCCACTAAAACCTGACATTCCAACCCAGGCTGCTGATCAACATGCAACTTCGTGAGCAAAATGTTGAACTTTTTCAGATGTGTTACAGTATGTGAATGAATGGGTTTTCAAGTCATAATGGGTCAGTGGGTGTATTTTAGAGACATAGGAACGGGTGGTTTAATTTTTTTTTGCTCATATCTTTGGTGTTGATTTTTTGTTTGTAAAGTTTGATGACAGCTAGTGATTGGTGGCACAGGAGTGATGAGGCGTCTGAACAGCTGAAAAAACTGTTTAGTGGTTTTGACAGTAGGTACTTGATAAATATTACAATTCAAGCCACAGTGTTTTTCTATTGTAACATACATGGCTTGATTTTTGAATTACCCTGCCATGGATGCAGGTCAGAGGTGGCGTTTAAGTTGTATTCTAAGACAATACTTTGTGTACACTTTAGATTTGTCTAAAACTATACTTATTCTGAAAAACAATATGGATATAACATGCCTCACCCCAGAACAGTGTAAATGGATGAATGAACACTCGGTATTGTTACATATGTATGCTAATTAGAAGCAGAACACCAGCTTAACCATGCAGTTGAATGCCTGTGTTGCAAAATAGCTTCACCCAATTAACACACACTGATCAAATATGTGTCAGATTCACCAATGTAGTAGTTTGTTCCTGATTGGTTGGCCAACCATAACACTAAACTGGCAAGCCAATCAGGACACCTTTAACATAATAGATTAGTGTCTATGATGAGACATGCCTGTCAATTGCGTGATGCGTTATATGAAGACAGCAGCTAGAGTAGAAAGAAAGCCAAGCCAAGCCAAAATAAACAGTGATTACCTACCAGCAACCAGGCTCAGCTGCAATGATGAGTTTGCTGTTAGCAGGATGAAGCACTTCAGATCTCAAAACCAGTGACTTGTGTATTTTCCCTGTTACATCAGCAAAGCAGGAAGAAATACCGAGTCACTCGATGATGAAATCTGACGTGGAAATGCCCAAAGCCGTAAGATGCGATGTATACAAAGCTTATTTGATCATTGATCAGACAAGGTATGTATAATTACTCACCTCAGCTTTGACAATTCTTTCTACAATCGTTGATAATGTTTCCGTGGGAACACATTTTTGTACCCCTTCAAAATATGTTTCCCTATGCTGTAATGCTTGTCTGATGGTAACATCTAAGTTGTTGTACGTCTTCTCAGCAGCTAGATTCTGAAATAAAACATTACGGTTGTTGCTATGTGTAATTGCATGAACCGGAATATACACTACCAATATCATGACTGACCCCTTTCAGATCTACACAGCCAACAGGCAGTTTTTTTTATTTTTAAATTCAATACTCACATGAGTTATTGTACAACTCTATATAGTCTGGTCTATTTATAATATATACTTACGATAACATCAAACTTAGAATAGATATCAACAACAGTACCATTCTCATCTATCACAGGTAAAGCTGAAACTCTTCTTTCAATGAAAGTTTTTAACGCTACAATTAATGGAGTATCTGGTGACGCCTGTGAATAAAACAAACATATGATAACCAATGAATCGAAGTGAAGCAGTGGAAATGCAATATAGACGAGAACATGTAAATCCAGCAATCCGATAGGTCCGTGCAAGCAGACTGATCTTTTGACAACATGGCTGACTATTACAAAAAAAACACAATATCTCAAAATATTCCACGTTTCAGATATTGGCTAAAATGTGTGTGTGATATAACGCTGCATATATGTGTGATGTAATTTCAAATTCTCCCAACCTCAACTTCTCCGCGTACAAAATTTATTTTACCCATGTCGAGTGTGATTCACCTCGGATAGGGAAACAGTCACGGTTTGAATTGACTTCAAAATTAAGAATTTATTTTACCAATGCATCCCCCAAACTGTAAATATAGTGATCACTCTAATAAAAATATGTTTCTTAATTGCAATAGGGTTAACTAAAGATAATCTGCATGGCGGTCGGTTATTCAAATAAGCCAGAACAATGTCTTGAATACATGCTCATAAAGTAAGATTTCTGCATGAAATGGATTCATGAGACTCTACAAAATGTTTCTCGCCATTTTGTTCAGATCAAATGAAAATTACAATAGTTTAATAAATCTGACTTTGAAGGATTACTCATCCTTTATGTACTAACTGTTGCAATATTCTTGAAACTTCCGATTCCTAGCTCTTCTAATGACTTATTCATAAAGTCAGGTAACTTGACCTCGTGTACCTGAAAAATACAAATCAATTCATGCATTCGTAAATTGATCAATAAAACTGAACAACCTGTTCAGAATTCAGCAACACTTCTAAATAGAACAAATATGGTACATGAATCTTTATTGGAAGATGTGCTTCTAATACAGTAAATATGGTACATGTCAATGCACTTTGAACGAAACAATTATGACAAATGCACTTCTAAAGGAGAAGCGGCTTCTACTCAAGCAAACAATATATACTGTAGAATACTTTATTTTAGCTGAAATTAATTTTCGCTGAAAAGACATTTTCGGTGTTTTGCATGGAATTTATTTTGACTGATTTTTGACTGAGTTGAATGTAAAATATAGGAAAAAAAGGATATTAGTTCGTTTTATTTTCACTGAATCATTTCTTCAGCGAAAATAGCAAAAAAAAGTATTTTACAGTATGCACTTTGAATGAAGCAAATATGGTAACACAAGGTAAAAAGTATACTTACATAGAGGTATAAAAAACGGAGAATACGTTTATGCGTAAGTATATAGATAACATTGCCAGTAAGTCTGTCAATAACAGGAAGCCTATGAATTTTATTCTTAATTAATATACGAACTGCCTCAAATAAACTGGAAAATAAAGAGAATAGAAATTTGGGAATAGTTTTCCAGAATGGACATTTTGAAACAGTTACTATCAGGTTCACGGCTCAAGCACTGTTATTATAATGGGTGTCTCGAAAAAGTTATTATCAATTAAAGGTTCACAGCTCAGGTCTGGCTACCAGAATGGACGTCTTGTAACAGCCATCAGTTAAAAGTACCATCATCAGTAAATCTATTCAAACCTTGTCACCTTAAATTTATTAAATTGGTTTTCGTTTGTCAATTTTGGTCATGTATCTGCTATATCTACATATCCCATATGCTGCCTCACATTTAAACCAACCATACGTATCATCTCTGATGTTGACCATAATGTCAATATTGACAGAGCACGAACATTTTAATAAAGTAGACACAATCTGATTCAAAATATATGTATAAGTGACTAATAAGTGAATTCATCTTCTTTTAAATTGAAACAAGATTGATTGTCTCTAGTTGGTATGGTAACGGCAGCAGAGATTCATAACCCATATACATATTGAACATAATTGTATACTGGACTCGCTGCCAGAAAATAAAAAATTGTCCCCCTCCCTCAATGACACTTCCACCCCTGCAAAAGTAATCACCTGTTCCTCAATATATATATTAATCCTTTATGACACTGATGAATGTGAATGAAATATAACACCTTCCATATACTATGTACTATTGGTATCTGTTTTCATGATATAATAAACCTTATCTTACGTACGATTCATCGGGACCTATCGTTATCAATGGTTTCTGTTTGGTGTGTAGTACATCTAGAAGGAAAGAGAACATTGTGAAATGTGTGGTGATAAATATCACTGATGAATACAGTAGATATAGTTGCAGTAAAAACAGTGTTGATGTAGGCATTTTAGAAACACATGCAATCATGTTTTCAGTGCATCATTATGATTTCATAATATGAGAGTGTTTGAGAAGACAAAATATGCAAAAATTACTGGACTTTCTGTCTTAAGGACCCCAACAAAAAACACTGTGACTCCCTGTCTTAAAAAAACAAGTAAAATCTTCACTGCTGTGATGTTCTGTAAAAATGCATCTCTCCCACTGTTTACCATATGTCTCTTTCACATGTTACATTTTTATAGCATCAATCTGTCAGCACAGAAGCAAACTTCAAATGGTTATTTGATTGATTAATGTGTGTTAGATGGAGGTACAATAAGGTGTGGTATATTTGCAAGTTTATAAAAACCATTTATTTCTAAAAAAAAAAAAAAAAAAAAAAAAATACCAGACAATTTATACAATATATGTATAATGGCTGTTAGTAAAATCACCAAATTATTAACACATCGCCTCCCCCCCTCTCTTTTAGACTATGAAGGCTTTCAGCAAGCAATGTGATTACTTTTTTTATAGCAAATTGTATATAATGAATAAATATAGTTCCAAACATGGCTAAGGACAATGATAGTAAATTGCTCTGGAATAATATGATGTTATGTTATAAATATTCAAATTAAGGTAATGGTTTGGAATATCGTATTTGATTATACCGCTACCCTATACTGAGTAAATCTTGATTCATTGGCATCAACCAAATAGCAGTATAACTTAGATACAATTTAATAGGGGGCAAGTTAGCATATAGAAACATTCTAGTCAAAAAATGAATTCAATAGAATTTAGATTACATTTTCAGTTTAAATGAGGTTTGGAGAACATGTGCATTCATGCGTCAGTTAATATAACTTACAGAGAATTGCAGCGAATTTGGTTTCTATAATGATGGGATGGCAGCTGAGAGGGGTGGGATGGACGATAGCATAGAGGGCAGGGATGGATGGTAGCAGAGAGGGGTGGGATGGACGATAGCATAGAGGGCTGGGATGGATGATAGCAGAGAGGGGTGGGATGGACGATAGCATAGAGGGCTGGGATGGATGGTAGCAGAGAGGGCAGGGATGGATGGTAGCAGAGAGGGCTGGGATGAATGGAAGCTGAGAGGACTGGGATGAATGGAAGCAGAGAGTGCTGAGATGGATGGAAGCAGGGAGGGCTGGGATGGATGGAAGCAGGAAGGGCTAGGATGGACGATAGCATAGAGGGCTGGGGTGGATGGTAGCAGAGAGGGGTGGGATGGACGATAGCATAGAGGGCTGGGATGGATGGTAGCAGGGAGGGCAGGGATGGATGGTAGCAGAGAGGGCTGGGATGAATGGAAGCAGAGAGAACTGGGATGAATGGAAGCAGAGAGTGCTGAGATGGATGGAAGCAGGGAGGGCTGGGATGGATGGAAGCAGGGAGGGCTGGGATGGATGGAAGCAGAGAGGGGTGGGATGGACGATAGCATAGTGGGCTGGGGTGGATGGTAGCAGAGAGGGCAGGGATGGATGGTAGCAGAGAGGGCAGGGATGATAATTTGAAATGTGACACATGATTTGATCATGTAGGTACTTCAATAACGCTATAGTGCTAAAACAGGATAATGCTTTTACTTCTTAAAACGTGACACACCAATCACTCCTCCACACTTTCTGATGACACAGGAGAGTAATCTGTAAACTCACTCGGGAACCACATTTATGTCAAATATACAATGGATTGTGGTAACATAAAAACTGCTTCACACGTACATATCCCAAGAGGAAAAACTCTTTGGAAAATTATGTTCCTTCTAGATGTACATGCTTGAATACATTTATATATAAAAAGCGCTTCCTTTGTATAGCAGATGATACCTGAATACTAATACTATATTCCTGCTACTAGCGAAAAGAACAAAATTTGCAATGTATGTGGAAATAATGATTCTGGTTTATTTGGGGCAAGGTAACAATAGCTGGTATTCAAACACCCACTGATCCACATAAGTAAATGAGAATAACCCACTATTGTCCAAGATTGTATAGCATAGTATTTCAGTATTCCACCCGCTACTCAACTGTTCTCTTGTGAAAGGCCACACAAAGAATAGAATTCAAATAGAAATCAAAAAAATATTAAATTATAATATTAAAGTAGTTTGCTACCATTAAAAAAATTCGTGAAATCAAGCGAGAGGGTTAGGTTACTGTAATGTTCAAAAATCTGAAATAAAAATGTATGGTCACCGAATTAAGTTTTCCACAAAAGGATCAAAGATATGTTTTCTGAATAGTTTACAATAGGTTTCTATAGCAGAAACATTACATGTTATCTCAAAATTCTGTTTGGTGACCAATATAAATATGACTGTCAGGAAAAATGGGAGAATTTTGAATATTATAATAAAATCTTGATTTGAAACCATATCCCTAATAAAAGCCGAACCCATGCTTTTTAAAGAGAACTGAGAACCAAAAATTCATCATTTTTTTTATATGTGTAGATGTTCTAATAGAAGCCTCATCCCCTCTGTTGCATTGTACCATTCTAATATAATGATTTGTTTACATGGAATCCTAGGAAAATGTTCCAAAATGGCTGTTTTTTTATTATTTTGCATGTTCTCATGAAACGCATCTGTCTTTCTCTACAGAAATGTTAAATTTGAATGACATGCATGAATATGAATCATCAAACAAAAATGTTTTTAATTAATGATTTACTGTGATAAATTTCATGTTTTAATGTTAGCAAACTACCTTTATAACTGTATATATGTATATTATAAAACTGACCTCTCCATGTCTCGATTTTATGTTCTTCCAATTCATCCATTTTAACCTAAAATAACAATAAAACAATAACATTAGTTTGTAAATCGAACTGTGAAGGGAAACATTCAAATTAACTTTCCTCATATGATTTATCTAGTATGATCTATAATATGTATGTGTTGAAAATAATTTACTATAAGTGGTATAAATTTTGTAACTATAAAGACAGTTTGAGCCGAACTACTGCACTACTGAGCACGTCATCGAACATACATGCAATGCATTATGGGAAATAATTTCACATTGTATGAAATAAAAAACTTTTGTCACATTGACATTTGTCTCTCGCAGAATTAAAGGAGTATTATGTCGCATTTCAGTCAGGTCTAAAAATTAGGCTATGCATTGAACACCACACTAGGCTTCCTTGTATGCCTCACATATTCTGTACTTCCCAGAGCATAAGCCCCTCCCCGAGTATCAGCCCACCCTCTGTTTTAGACATTTAACGAGTTGAGGGCATCCCCGAGTATAGACCCAGGGTGTTTTTACTGGCTGTTGACGACATTTATAAAAATATGCATGTAAAAAGTGTATTTCATTGCATAATGATTGGTACGGTAGTTTGGTTCCTGCTTTTATGAGAAAACTCGCATTAATTAAGAGTGCATGGCGGCAAACGTATAGAACATAGTTTGCACCTTCTATTATGTTATTTACTCAGGATGAACCCCGATGTTGCAATACTAAAGTAATCAGTCTTTCTTTTATATACCCGGTAGTAGTTTTCGATACGCCAAAAATGTGATCGTCAAGTCGTGGAACCTGGTCATTGAACATAGTTTTACTTTTCCGAATAATCGTGTCCATCGAGACTATCGTAAATGAGGTGAAAATGAGCAAACTATTCTTCAAAATGACTTGTTGGCGACCATGAAAGGTTTAAAAACTTCTTCAACCTTCAGTTTACCTTTCGAAAATTGTGAATCAACAGCTTTTAGGTAAAAAAAAATCACCGTTTTTTTTTGACGAAATCAGTGTTAACAGATCGCATTTTAACATTGCGGTAATTCACCTTCATCTGTACGACACATCATTTTGATTGGTTAATGAAAGATGTGACCTTTTAGGTCAAAGGAAGTTGTTCAGATCAAATTATGATGAAAAACACCATGTTGGAAATTGCTTTGTATCGAGTTTGCATACGATCTAAAACATTCCACAACAAAGATAATGATAAATATCTTGCCTTTGACTGTTTTCCCACTGACCCTATTTTTGCACCATAAATTCTGACAGTATGTAAACCGTAATGTTATAAAATGTGTGTATTTTTATGATTATTTTTTCCTCAAAAAGACTTCTCCGAGATCTGTGCTGTGAACGAAAAATATAATTTGGATAATTTTTCATGTGAACCTCCCAAAACAGTATTATTTCTAAGGTGGTCCTTAAGTATAAGCCCACCCCCAAATTTTTTCCAATTTTACATGTTCAGGCCCCTGGGCTTATGATCGGGGAAGTATGGTATATATGTATGCATGTTGTGCATCTAGGACAATATCAAACACAGCAGTTTCAAAAATAAAGTTCTTGGAAAACCAAAATAAAAATGTGTACTTACTAATGGCGACTTGTAATAATATTGAAGTATATGGATAAAATCTGTAATTGTTAGCATTCCTACAAAGAAAGAAAAACAAATTATGCTAAAAAAAACAAAACAAAATGACTTGTTTCTTTTTCTGTCATATTGTTATTATCTTGTATGCATTATTAGGATACAGTCATAAATAGTAGAGAACAGCTATGTGTGTTGAAAACCATTTAATGACCAAGTCAACATGCAAGAAATATACAACTCAGCAACTCAAACCATATTAGATTGGACTAGCCCCCTGCAGGCACTTTGTGAAAACAGCCACAGGTATGCAGAAAATTAATTGGGTTTAAATAATTAAAGGACAAGGTACATGTATACATGTATGTTGCAAAATGAGACTTGATAAAATTAAGTTAAGTCAAGTATGTAAATCAATAGTGAAATCAAACTAGTTTAAGTGAAAAACAAAGTACAGCATGACTCCCTCAAGTCTTAATTATCTCAGTATATGGTCGGCAAATAACTACATATACTTGTAGTCTGGGGTCAATTGAGGGCATCCATTTCCTAATAGCTTTCTACAACTGCACTCCTACCTATCAAATGTTTTTGTGAAGTTGAACATGACCAGAAACATAAATACATTTTGTTCTGGTCCTTAATTCAGCCCACACGTATAGTATACAAATACCACTTTGATAGCGAACAGAAAAATAAATTTTCCAGTTTCATATTAAAAAATTAACAAGGTCATAATAGTGAATAATTTTGAAATTACCTCATGTTCCCTCATATTGCAAGGTTTTAAAGAGATGAGCCCTATGTAGATACATGTACATTGATTTAAAATATTCTATTGCACATGTTTTATATATGTTTGTTGTAATTTAAAATCACAAATGAGAACCTGAAAGTTCACATATAATGCTATTTATACAGACCCCATAACAATAGTTGAGTTTTTTAACATCCACATTTCTCCCAGGTGGGACTCAATACCATGAACAAATAAACTGAAATGCATTTCTCGCATTGAAAACAAATATAAGGATAGCCTTTTATTTAAAAATATTTGTTTTTATTCCAATTAATCTTGCAATTGTTGCTAACAACATACTTCTGAACATGTTTGCCCATAATATGTACCTACACGATATACAAGTTGGACCAACATTTTTGTGCGAAGAACGTAGCTAAAACCAGAGGTGAGCAGCCTTCAGTGGCCAATTTCGCCAAGAAAAGATACAGGTGCAAGCAAAATCTAGGAGAGGCTGGGTTGCCGGAAACACACTATTTTTTCTATTTATTTGGCCTTACATGAATCTAACAATCTAAGTCCTTGATATTATATTATATTGAATCAGACAGCAATCAAATGAAAAAAGATATATGGGTTTCCATGGAAACTATGTACTGTATCTGACAGTCTTTTTGACATCAAGAGAAGAAAATCAATATTTCTGAGTATACATGACCAGACTGCAGTATTTTGTGACAGTCCTAATGCATAAATTACCGGATAGCTGTATAATTTCTGAGTTAAATGTGGTCGCAATTAAGCCAGTTCTGTCTTATTTATAATCTTTTTATGATTTTTTTAATATTTTTAATTGCAAATTGACTGTATTTTATATTGAAATACTACCAGTTGATAGCATAGCATAGTTTTTTTTTTTATTGACTGCAATTCATATATAGAGAGTAAATAATTTGTGGATTGTTATTGGATGGAATAGAAAGCTACTAAAATGTAATAAAAATAGACCATTAATTTACAACGACATTTACACGTTTGACTATAATATTTGATTATGAGTTTCTATGAGGTTGCAGTGCAGTTCTAATTAAATTTAACAAATCAACTCTGTTATTGATACTGTACAGAAGGAAAATTATTAAGCTCTAAGAATGTCTTCCCATTGTTCCTTGAATCATATCATCATAGAAACATGTATGGCAGCAATCTTGACATGAAATAAACATGACCCTCCTCAAATTTTAAGACATTATACACCCTCCAAGCAATATTTATTTTTGATCATTTAACTTTTCCCATGGGTACATGTAGGCCTAAAGAACTGCAAGCAATTTTCCTTTCTCTTAATTACTCTTCCTGACGAATAATCATCTCTGCTTTAGAAAAGCTTACATGCTGTATGGAACATACATACTCCAGTAAGTTGTTATTTAAAGAAAACATATTTCTACCAAGATGTTAACAAAATATTGTGCTTCCTTATTCTCATAGTTTTTTTTTTTTTTTTTTTACCTGTGGTATACATTTAGCGATCATGACACTTGAATGGCAACCCGATGCTATCAAATATTGGGATGACATAAATTATAGATTAAAACACCACCAAACTTATAGGAAAAAAGATTTAATGCTGGAGACGTTTTTTTTTTTAATTTTGATATCATTTATTGAGAAAATAATAAATACTTTATAACATATTTGTATAATAGCTGCACTGAATCTAACCTAGTGATGTTTGGTTTTCATTTTTTCAATTAAAAAAATTTAATAAATTAAATGTATATGATTTTCACTACACATATTTATACTGACATTTAGTTTTTAATAGCACTTCTGATGAAATCTTGAATGGAAAAACTGAAAATATATAACCATAGATCAATAGAGTGTTCCTGTCATGGGAGGTGTACAGCACGGTATGTACATGAAAACAGATTGCAGATAATTCACATCAAGTTTTTAAATTGATTTTATTCAACAATTTTAACCAAATTTGATGTTTTCACAGAAATTTATGTAATTTATTTTAAGTATGTAACTTATTATTTTCGATTATTTTATCGATTTAGTTTCCATTTATTAACTTGTATACAAAGTTGCATTCAATCAGACATTCATTTATTAGAAGCATACTGAAAGTTATGTTGCATCTTAATTGTTACTGTTCACTCTGACCAATCACTGATTGTGCACTTTTTAAAAATTCTTTATTTTTAATTGTTCGGTCATTGAATGTGAGTTAAATGGTGGTGGTCGTATAGGGTCCATGTTGTGCATAGCAACATGTACGCACTTGTGTCAAATGTGTTGTTTATTTACACTCAATTCAAACATATGTGATGCACGAACAAAAAAATATATTCCGATAACAAGAATTAATTCATTTTAGTGCTATTATAGAAATATTACAAGTAATTGTAACATTACTGACAGAAATAAATTATAGTTCAATCAATTTATTTATACTGTGAGGCAAAAGAAAAAACTTCAGCTGGATTGTTTAGTGTGTTTTTTTGCAGTCTAATTGCATGCACTACCAATAATCTAAAAAGCGTACTGACACATGCTTTAAGGCTAAATTGTTCACAGAACATTTCATAATTGATGAGGGGAGCCGTGATTACAATTTTAAGTAATAAATGAGATTATTTTGTTCATGGCTGATAATAAATTTTAACGATAAGTTTTATTTATTCCACAACAATAAAGTGTAAAATAACGCATAATTTTGTTGTTGTATTTTTCACATATTAATTAAGCGAAAACATTGTGTGAATGATATGTGAACAGTTTGGATTTCAAAATATTTGGACTTTTAAGCATAAGTGCTTTTGACCAACTTCTTCACTTCAGTAAATAATCATTATAAATTTGACATCAGATCAGTACTATGATATTCATGGCCAAAAATTGACAATATGTACAGGTTTTTGATCTAACAGTGAAATATTTAGGTTTACTGAATCTCTCGCTTCGTCTCGTCTCGTATTGACTGAACGTTGATTAGAGACATTATGATCGCCGTTGTTATAGCTCCATTATATGCTCAGAATGGGAGCTTAAAGTGACTCTCACGCTGCATACTAAATAAATAATTATTTTACCCTGCAGCCATATACAACACATGGAAGCTTTACTGTCTGCGTGTGATTATTGTCATCCTCTTAAAATTGACCTAATGGATTCGTGAGGAAGACAACGACAAATGGAAGGATCACCTGAAAGCAGAGTACTTTCTGATGACAATGAGAGATTGTAAAATGTGTTGAGAGTACTGGTATCGAAAATGCTTGTAGCGCTTTTACTTGAGTTGCACCTACAATAACAGTACAATACCACAATATTTCAGATCAGTCAAATCTCAGACTAGTAACAGACTCGGAACGCGGCGTTTTCTTTTGTAGTAATGCGTGCCACGTTTGTTTAGGTTATCAGTTCTTATCGTACCGAGTAAACGTTGCTGAGCAACAACATTTTCATTATATTTCACAAAATAACGTGAGATCTATTCATATTACAATCAACTATCACGATGCATCGCGAGACATAAAGACAGGAAGTGGCATAGACGACAGTAGTTGACAGTGAACTTCGAAAATGGCATTTACGGAAAAATTTGGCGAATCTGAGGATGATAATTACGAGTGG